AGAAGATGTTTGGGTGCCTCACGAACTCTCCGATTATCTTCGTTTCCAACGTGTGAACGTTGCTTCGTCTCTCTCTTGGCGCGTAATGCGCGTGAACCATTTTTGAACAGAATTGTCACCAGTTATGAAAAATGGATTCTCTATACGAATATTAAACGCCAAACCACTTCCGACTCCAAAACCTGGACTCCATCCGCAGAAAGTGATGCTTTGCATTTGATGGGATATCAAAGGAGTAATTCATTTCGAACTCCTCAATTCACAGCGAATTATCAATGCACAGATCTATAGTCAGCAACTGGAACGTTGAAATCAAGCCCTTAATCAGAAACGCCCTTCACTCGTCAGTCGGAAAGGTGTTCTTCTCCAGGAGAATGGACGTTCACATGTAGCACGTTTGACGTAACACGAGATTATGGAGTTGGGTTGAGAAGTTCTCCCCCACCCACCATATTCTTCAGATATGGCACCATCAGATTACCATCTTTTTCGTTCGCTGCAACACCATTTTAATAGGAAAACGTATGTAAATGTGGTAAGTGTTAAAGAGGACATCGACATGTTTTTGCTTCAAAGCCAAGTGATTTATTTAATCAGGGCATTTACAACCTGGCTGTAAGACGGAAAAGCATCATCCTTAAGAATGGAGGCTATTTTATTTAACAAATGTTTTGTTTTGATCTATAAGTTGTTCGGGTTTTTAATCTAAAAAAAAAAGCGGCAATGATTTCTTGACGACCTAATACGTTCTTGTTTTTTGTAATATCTTGACGAGAGTGTAATAATAAGCAAATGGTTACGTTGGTTTTCGTCTTATATTAAATGAAGCTTACTGATTATTGAATATTTTCATTGATTTGGATTAGATTAACGTAAGAGTAGATGCAAATGCACAGAAAGTAATTTTTTATTTGTTTGAGGCACTTGGAAGTTATGATAACGTTACTTGGTTTCTGGAATTGATTTTAACTTAGAATTTGATACTGTAAATAAATAAAACCTAACAATATGATTCTACTACCTAAACAAATAAAATAATATAAAGTACTGATTGTAGCATTAAATCTTTACAAGTTTTCTTACGATTGAAAATTATTATACTTGAGGATTATTTCAATGTAAATAAGATGAAACACAGAACGGGATTATATAATTTGACCTTTAAAAAAACTGTAGTGGACGAAGCTTTGTTGTGTACCTTTCTAAAAGATGAAGCTTCGGTCTCCAAGAGTTGCTCAATAGACGCACAACTATACAATCGTCGTTCTTTCCTCCTCAGCGCTCTCTGGCGGATATCTAATGCATCTTCATCATCCATGGTATTATTCAGTTTTTATAAAAAGTTCGAGTCGTCACATGAGAACTGAACATATAAAAACGTGTTAGAAAAAACGCTCAAACTGAACTATAAACTACTAGAAAACAGCAACAAAACACAAAATATACAACTAGAAACAGCAACAAAACACAAAATATACTACTAGAAACAGCAACAAAACACAAAATATACTACTAGAAATAGCAAGAAAATACAACTATAAACTACTAGAAATAGCAAGAAAACACAATTAAACTATAAACTACTAGAAATAGCAAGAAAGCACAATTAAAGTATAAACTACTAGAAATAGCAACAAAACACAACTATAAGCTGCTAAAAAACAGCAACACAACTATAAGCTACTAGACAACATCAACAAAACACAACTATAAACTACTAGAAAACAGCAACAAACACAACTATAAGCTACAAGAAAATAGCAACAACACACAACTATAAGCTACTAGAAAACAGCAATAAACACACAACTATAAGCTACAAGAAAATAGCAACAACACACAACTATAAGCTACTAGAAAACAGCAACAAAACACAATTATAAGCTACAAGAAAATAGCAACAAAACATAACTATAAGCTACAAGAAAACAGCAGCAAAACATAACTACAAGCTACAAGAAAACAGCAACAAAACCTAACTATAAGCTACAAGAAAACAGCAACAAAACACAACTATAAGCTACTAGAAAACAGCAATAAACACACAACTATAAGCTACAAGAAAATAGCAACAACACACAACTATAAGCTACAAGAAAATAGCAACAAAACATAACTATAAGCTACAAGAAAACAGCAGCAAAACATAACTACAAGCTACAAGAAAACAGCAACAAAACCTAACTATAAGCTACAAGAAAACAGCAACAAAACACAACTATAAGCTACTAGAAAACAGCAACAAAACACTAAATCTGAGGCATGTCTTAGAAAATTATTCAGTTTTCAGCAAATTCAAATATTGTGACACGCCTCAAATAATAAAATATGTACTTTCATGTTTCATACTTTATTTTTATCAGTAACAAGTGAGATGATAGAATATTTTCCTAGATAATGTGACCAATTGTATAATGTAAGCACCTTGTGAGCACCTAGATAAACTGACCAATTGAAATGTGAGTTTAAAAGCTACGTAACAGCCCAGCTCAGATGACCAACTGGAATATGAGAATAAAACCTGTGAGAGCTCGGATAAGATGTTACTAAAAATGCGTGTTCGTTCCAACTATACAGCTTTTAATGGCTTCCGATTTACTGAAGTTTCGAATAAGTCTAATTGTAAACATGGGCTTGCACTTAATCAAATGTACCTTGTGACTCTTTTGTTGGACTAGTTTTGCACTTTTTAGTCATTGTGAAGTACTAAAATATGGAATTTAAATACTGGTAATAAACAAGTAACCAAATTTTGATTTTTGTAGTATACATCAACAATAAGTAGATAGTGTGTATATCTTATGGTACTGTTGTATATTATACATCAACAATAAATAGACAGTGGGTATATCTGATGGTACTGTTGTATAGTATATATCAACAATACGTAGATAGTGTACACATATGATGGCACTGTTGTATAGTATATATCAACAATACGTAGATAGTGTACACATATGATGGTACTGTTCTATATTATATATCAACAATAAATAGATAGTGGGTATATCTGATGGTACTGTTGTATAGTATATATCAAGACTACAAGGTATTAAGTTAGATGTCGTGAACTCTAGCATAGATAAGGTATTAAGGTAGATGTCGTGAACTCTAGCAAAGAAAAGGTATTAAGTTAGATGTCGTAAGTTTTAGCACAGATGAATTATTAAGTTAGATGTTATGAACTCTATAATAAATAACTTATCATGTTTTTTTTTATTCCTGTAAACTCCCAGTGGAGCATAGAGCCGCAACAACACCTAGCCAACGGAAGGTATTGTTGCAGTTACTTGTAGCAGGTTGGTTTTAACGGGGTGGAGTTGCTAGCCCCGCGCCCAACCCTCCCCCTTTCTCATACTGGACTTGGATCCAGGCAAAGGCAGAGGTTGGCATGTTTGGTGTGACGGGGATTCGAACCCGCGACCCTCAAATTGCGGGTCGAACGCCCTAACCACCTGGCCATGCAGGGCCAACTTATCAAGTTAGGTGTCGTGAACTCTAGCACAGATAAGTTATTAAGTTAGGTGTCGTGAACTCTAGCACAGATAAGTTATTAAGTTAGGTGTCGTGAACTCTAGCACAGATAAGTTATTAAGTTAGATGTCGTGAACTCTAGAATAAATAAGGTATTAAGCTAGATGTCGTGAACTCTAGCAAGGATAAGGTATTAAGTTAGATGTCGTGAACTCCAGCAAAGATAAGATATTAAGTTAGATGTCGTGAGTTCTGGCACAGATAAGGTATTAAGTTACATGTTGTGAATTCTATAATAAATAAGTTATTAAGTTAGGTGTCGAGAACTCTAGCACAGATAAGTTATTAAGTTAGGTGTCGTGAACTCTAGCAAAGATAAGGTATTAAGTTAGATGTCGTGAACTCTAGCAAAGATAAGGTATTAAGTTAGATGTCGTGAGTTCTGGCACAGATAAAGTATTAAGATGGATGTCGTGAGTTCTAACATAGATAAGTTATTAAGTTAGATGTAAGTTTTAGCACAGATACATTATTAAGTTAGATGTCGTAAGTTTTAGCACAGATAAATTATTAAGTTAGATGTAAGTTTTAGCACAGATACATTGTTAAGTTAGATGTCGTAAGTTTTAGCACAGATAAATTATTAAGTAGTGAAATTATCCCCACTAATATAAAAGTATAATGTTCCCATTGTGATAAGATTGTTACCCACATTCGCCCAGGTATATTGTTTCTGTTGCTAATAAAGCTGTTCGTCATGTGTACGAAAGCACAATATTGTTCAACATTTATATAAATGTATAATGACCTTTTTACTGCTAAGTTGTTCCACATCTATATAAATGTAAAATGATATTTTAATTAATTCCTAGCTAGGGTGTTCAACATCTATTTCAGTGTATAAAAGTGTTTTCACTGCTAACCAAGTTGTTCAACATCTATTTCAGTGTATAAAAATGTTTTCACTGCTAACCAAGTTGTTCAACATCTATTTCAATGTATAATAATGTTTTCACTGCTAACCAAGTTGTTCAACATCTA